TTCTTCTAAATATGAAAATAGTGTACCAAGGAAGTGGAAGCAGATTGGATATTTTATTTGGAGTGTCAAGTATTTGTTTTGTTTTTGTAAGTGTTTTACGGCGCTCGCAACTGCATAAGGTCATATCAGCGCGCGGGACACATTAAACTTTTTCAGTTGGTAGGAAATTTTGAATTTTGCCCGGGTGGCGGCCGAAGCCTACTCTTATCGATTTTTGACCACCAAGGAATCTTTAACGTGCGCAACTTGCACACGGGCCTTCGAGATTTTTCGCCCTTGTCCGAGAAGGCTAGGTGTAGATCTTTCCTACCATAAGATCAGGGATGCGGCTGAAAGACAGCAGTAAGAAGAAGCCAAGGAGTAGCAGTAGAAAGGCTGTAGAAAGAATCAGGAGCTCAGAGGAGGGGGACAAAGGAGATGAGGGGGTGGAGGCAGAAAGAGGAGACGAAAGCAGACGACAGAACATTATTAGAGAGCAGGAAAGGAGGTGCAAGTAGACAAATTTAGAGAAGAAAATGTTTCGGTCACTACCCAGATTCGAACCCGGGACCTTTGAATGAGAGGCCAACACCTTAACCTCTAGGCCACGAGAGCCCCCTAGTGTCAAGTATGATTTTTGGCAAAATTGTAGGCCCTACATAATAATATTATATAAGACAAAAATTACGATAATTGATGCAAGACTACAACCAATGCCTTTTTTGCCACTTTGTCATTTGTCTGAGTCGCGCATCCAGGCATCAGTTTGTGCATGACGCTCACCATCAAAATCGATTTGAAACTTTCTTTTACTTTGAGATATATATCAAAGTCTGTCAATCTTTGCAATTATTCACCGTTTTCAAATTTTTGGCCTTTGTCACTTTACGAACGTACCTAGCTATCTCGCCTCCAGAGTGTCACTTTACGAACGTACCTAGCTATCTCGCCTCCAGAGTGTCACTTTACGAACGTACCTAGCTATCTCGCCTCCAGAGTGTCACTTTACGAACGTACCTAGCTATCTCGCCTCCAGAGTGTCACTTTACGAACGTACCTAGCTATCTCGCCTCCAGAGTGTCACTTTACGAACGTACCTAGCTATCTCGCCCCCAGAGTGTCACTTTACGAACGTACCTAGCTATCTCGCCTCCAGAGTGTCACTTTACGAACGTACCTAGCTATCTCGCCTCCAGAGTGTCACTTTACGAACGTACCTAGCTATCTCGCCTCCAGAGTGTCACTTTACGAACGTGCCTAGCTATCTCGCCTCCAGAGTGTCACTTTACGAACGTGCCTAGCTATCTCGCCTCCAGAGTGTCACTTTACGAACGTGCCTAGCTATCTCGCCTCCAGAGTGTCACTTTACGAACGTGCCTAGCTATCTCGCCTCCAGAGTGTCACTTTACGAACGTACCTAGCTATCTCGCCTCCAGAGTGTCACTTTACGAACGTGCCTAGCTATCTCGCCTCCAGAGCCTACAACACCAAGCACTCAGGCTATAAAGGAAGAGGAAGGCCACGCAAAAGGAGGATTGAGGGTGTCAAGGAAACCCTGAGAAATCATAATATCCCAATTGAAAGAGTTGAAGACCTGGCTTACCATTGAAAACTGCATCTCCCTTCGACCCTTAACCGCAACAGAAGATAAAAAAGTAAAAGTAAATAAGTATCACTTTATCTCATAAACAATAACAAACTACTTACTCTGTGATGCTTTGGCTCAATTTGACATTTAATTTAAACAACTCACAGTTCACCGTTTATACTCAAGTAGGCCTACAAATTCACTAAAGAAACATAAAAAACCCCACCAGTAATAAATGAGCCACATTTTCTTTCTGGTTCACACACTTGAATACAAATGTAATACAGTAATTTTTAAACATACACAATGTTGTATGAGAATGAACAGGTTTATGAAAATACATTCATCTGGATATATATACAGAAAAAAAAACAAAGCAATATCAACATTATAGACTTTCAGTTTCTGGTATCTGCATACAATGTTGTTGACACTAACACAACTACTGGTGGGGACCTAAATAACTTTGAATTTCTGTATGGGACAATGTTCTCCAAAAAAAAGGGAAGAAATAATGACAAGTGACCAAAGCTACCCAGTGAGATTGGAATTTTAATTTTTGATCAGCAGTAGACGACTGACTCATTTCCAAGAAAGCAAGATCCAGAGTGTAGAAATTCATTCATACCAACTGAACGCACAGTTCTGCAAATATAAAGGGGGTGGGGAAGGGGGGGGGAGATTTTTTACAGAGCAGAGGCACATGTCATCATATTTATGTCCTTTCTCGTTGTGGGTATGCGTGATGCCCTTGAACTTTATATATAGTAAAATTGCCATTGTAAACAATAAAGAAAAAATTCCCCCTGTGAGATGAATAAAGACTGCCATTGTCATAATCTACACAAATTTCACAAATACAAACCCCTGACCATGTGCCAACTCCCAATTTCAACGGATGGAGGAAACCGTCCAGGTAGTGGCAGATGTCATTTAACCCATTGCTGACGGCCTACGAGAAAACTGAATCCGAATCACTCTCTAAAACTTGCTTCAGTCCATCATTTCCAAGTTTTTGTTAAAACTACTTTCGAGTTATTGTTCGTGCATTTCCGTACGCTTATCGCTCGCTAATTTTGTAGCTGTTTGGAGGGAAAGTTGATTCAGTTTTAGAGTGGGGGTACCGAGATTTGTGGATGTGGCTGAAGGCAGCCCAGGTGGGTTTGTCTGCTCAAGGAGGCAACTCAGGTAGAAATGGGTTAATGTTCTGCTTGGAAATACATGTAGGTGTGCGGTACAAGCATTTTGGCCTCTCAGAGGGGAGCAAAAGCGAACGCTGACTGTAAAAATGTTGACAAACACCGGTGTAAGTATTATCTCTCACATTCTGGCACCATTATAGTATTTGGTAGGCACATGCCGCCACCCCAGAAATACAAAATTCTATCTGCTCAGTACCTAGATTTGAGAAATTTGCCGCGAAAAATTTTGACTTTCACAACCTGTTAAACTTTTCAAATGCAATTCTTTGAATATCTTGATAAAGACTCCGAATAATCTTTCAATTTTGATGAGCGGTTAGAACATTTGGTTTCTGGCCTCATGGTCTTAGTAACTCAAAACGGCAAAAAATGACAGATAGGACTTTGTAATTCTAAGTAGCGAAGAGCCAGAGAAACTGTCACATAGAGTTTTGTTCGAGAAAGATCTGGTTCATTCCTCAATTCTCTTTTCACCGGGACCCATATGTATCAATGACACATATTATATCAATAAAGGAAAATTTATCATTTCTCCTCCACAAAATGTTTGCACCCAGCACTTTTAAACTATTTATCTCCGACGAGCTGCTCCCAGCGGCTAGGTAGGGCACATTCCTTTACGACGACTTCGACATCAAATTACTTTACGGCAATTGCCAGAAACAGGTCTCTTATACCGGAAGTTCATTCATTAGATGACATGAAGAACTATCAAAATAGGTTTGCTAGTTTCGATGAAATGACCCATTTAATGACGTTTTAGTCATTTTTAGATTTAGCACCAAAAAAGATCCCCCGCATAGTGGGTGTACCCCCCTCGGAGATAAAGACTTTTTTAAAAAGCTGCAGCGTAAGGCTATAATAATATTCCCATCACAGAAAAGCACACTCCTCAGAGATACCTGTGTGTTTCTGATCACAGAAAATTATGCTGACATAATGAGTTAATTCTCAGATTTCAGCCCCATGGACAAAGAGGGATCCAACAAAATGTGAGGCAGCGTGGTGGAATCAGGCTCTCGTCAATTTTTGGGCTTTGGGCATGTAGAGTTATTGGTATCATCTTAAAGCTTGTTCACTTGTCTTTTCTTGGATGAGCAAAGTATTCGTTTATCTTGAATACAAGTTGAGATATTTGCGAATGAAGGAGGTGGGGGTCACCTGTTTTCAGAGGTAAAATTAGAGAAAAAATGGCTGCCAAAGATTAGTTATAACGTTAGCTTAAGAGTCCGTGGTAACTGAAAATTTACATTTTTTGGGCCTTTAATCAACGTTTTTATGAAAAATCCACACATAAATGAGCTCTTTAATGGGCACGAAAGGTGTTGAGCCAAAAAACAAAAATTTGATATAAATTCACAAACCTGCGGAAAAATGCAGGTTTCTTCACTTTGATTATTTTGACAAGAGCCTGATTCCACCACGCTGCCTCACAAATTATAGGTAGAGTTTGTACTGTTTATAACATGAAATGGTAAAAGACATGTTAAACTTGAAGAAAATGGCATCAGTTTCAAATTTACAGATTTGATGTGTTTTGGGTTGTCTTTTTTTTTATCAACATCTCTATTCATGGATTATGAGATGAAACACATTTTGTCAGCATGCCTCACATTTTACTGCCGTAGAACTACAAAGTTCTATCTGACGTTTTTGGCCGCTTTGAGTTACTAAGACCATGAGGTCAGAAATCGAATGCTCTATCTGCTCTATCAAAATTGTAAGAATATTCGGAGTCGCTATCAAGATATTCAAAAAATTACATTTGAAAAAGCTTGACATGTTGTGAAACTTACAAAGTTTTCAAGTCAAACTTCTCAAAACTAGGTAGACTACTGAGCAGATAGAACTTGTGAGGCAGCGTGGTGGAATCAAGCTCTCGTCAATTTTTGAGCATGTAGAGTTATTGGTATCATCTTAAAGCTTGTTCGCTTGTCTTTTTTTGGATGGAAAAAATATCCATTTATCTTGAATACAAGTCGAGATATTTGGGAAAGAAGGAGGTGGGGGTCACTTGTTTTCAGAAGTAAAATTAGTGAGAAAATGGCCGCCAAAGATTAGTTATGCCCTTAGATTAAGAGTCCGTGGTAGCTGAAAATCTACATTTTTTGTGCCTTTAATCAAAGTTTTTCAGAAAAATTCCCACTGAAATGAGCTTTTTTAATGGGCATGAAAGGTGAGCCAAAAAACAAAAATTTGATAAAAATTCACAAACCTGCGGAAAAATGCAAGTTTCTTCACTTCGATTATTTTGACGAGAGCCTGATTCCACCGCGCTGCCTTACACTTGGTAATTTTAAGGTAGCAATTTGTCTAAAGCAGTCCAGCATGTAACAAAATTGCTGATGCAGGCACGTTTATCGGAGGTGTTCATAACCAGCTTTTGAGTCCTGCATGACATCAAAGGAGTCAAAGGGAAGCTACTAGTCTTTGAGATCTTTCACAAAGTTTTCCATCTCCTTCCTCCTCATTCTCATCAAATGCCAGTCTTCCGTTTCCGTCAGATCAATGAGACCGCAGCGAAGGTAGAAATCTTTGGCAAACGTATTCCAGTTCAGTACTGCTAGATGCAAACGCTGACAGTTCAGATCTAAAGCAGCCTGTGGAGATACGGTAGCAAAAAATTACAAAAAAAATGGGTCATGGGACGTTCACTAGCTTTGAGAATAAATCGTGGAGATTGGGGAAAAAATGGACACTTCCCTTTCAATGAGAATACACCTTTTTGAGAAGTTATCCCACAAAGATAGAGCTGCTCTTTTCTTTTAAATAAAGAAAAATTAGTCAGGTACTTCCATTTCACAGGTTATGATGGTTAATCTTTTTGAGAAACTTTCCAACATCGATAAATGATCTTTTTGTGTTTTTAAAATATTTTTTTCTTCTTCAGTAGAGTACTTTCACTGAACTGTAGCATATATTCCAAGACACATGAAAAGGTCACTTATATGGGGCATTTCCCAGTTGTAAGGAGCAGAGAATGCAGAAAAAAAGTGTCATTTTTGCTGGAATGTGAGAGTGAATCAAATGGATCCGTGAGAAAGCAAATTTCATAGACTGCTTTCTTGGAAGTGGCAGATACAAGGGAAATGAGAAAATAAATGAGAGACAGCCAAAAGAAAAAGATGTGATAAGAGATACCAATGAGAAACAAAAAATAATTACTCCCCCTTTTCCCCTTGAGAAAAAAAATATGAGAAATGGGAAAGCAATTACTCCAACTCCCTTTAAAAAGACATGATAAATGACAAATAATCTCCTCATTATCCCACCTCTCCCCTCCCATCACACACACACACACACACACACACACACACACACACACATGGTTAGTTAGTTTATTAAGGGAAAGTAATCGAGTACCTATTTGACATTGATGAAGAGATCAAGGGCAGGCCGAGGCTTGAGCCACGGACTGTGAAAGACGTGAGAGTGAGTCGCAGTCGAGGGGCAAGAGAATTGTCACAGTCAGTGCAAGTTGGACTGCTACAAGAGGAGGGTGTGTTTAGCTAAACCACATACACATACACACACACACACACACATACACACACACACACATTCTTTAAAAATATTATAAGGAACGAGAACTACTCCACTCAGTCCCTCCTTTCAAAAAGACAATCTTAGGTCGTACCTTTGTGACATGTTGCCAGATTTTCTTCCCCAAGCCCTGTCCTCTCTGCGATGGAGTGACGTAGAGGTCTTCCAGGTACATGGACACGCCATCCCAGGTCGAGTAGATCGGGTAGAACAACGAGTAGCCAATCAGCTGTCTGGGTTCTGCACGACATACAAAACCCCGCAACAATATGTCAACTTCAGGGAACAAATGACAATGACAATCTTTATTCATCTCGGCGGGAGAAATTTGTCTTGGTCGTTAACAATCGTAGTAGATGTTACAAAGGTTAGGTGCACTCACGCATATGCACAACAAGACAAGACATTAGTAAATACATCTCTCTCTCTCCCTCCCTCCCTCCCCCTCTCTCTCTCTCTCTCTCTCTCTCTCTCTCTCTCTCTCTCTCTCTCTCTCTTTCATTTGTAGCACCGTGTGTTCAGTAACTTCACGACAGTTAGTACGAATATCTGTCTGTTCTTGCTTTTTTGGGAAATGGAGTTGTTGGTATGATCTTAAAGTTGAAGCTCGTTCGTTTGTCTTGCTATTGATGAAACAATAAGCATCTACCTGGATTAGAAGTCAAGATTTATGTCAGGGGTAAGATTATCGAGGAAAAGGCCACCAAAGTTCTGCCAGTGTCTTTGGAAACTGCACATTTTCGAATCCTCTGTACCCTTCATCCATGTTTTTCAATAAAACCAACAGATATGTGTTTTTCAAGGGACATAAAAGTAAATGGTGTCGAGCCCCCCCCCCCCCCCCCCCTCCAAAAGATTACCTGACGGGCTGAAAAATGTTGGTTTCTTCAGTTTGATTCGAGCGCTTTATTTCAATACAATGCCAGACACGTCTGGGTTTTTTTCATATATACGGTACATATAATAAAAGGTCATTGTAACCATAATTTCCCTCTCGAATGGATTGAAAAGAAGTGTCTTTTTTTTTTCCTTTTATTTTCTATTCCATCAATTGACATACCTGTACATTGCAGTGAAAGAAACATAACCTTGACACACTGACCTGAACCAGCCAGCTCGGCTACAATGGAAGAACAGAGGGGTTTTTCTGCAAACATGTCCTTCCTCAGAGCTGAATGAAAAAGAAAAAAGTAAATCTCTCTCTCTATCTCTCTATCTCTCTCTGTCTTTCTCTCTCTCTCTCTCTCTCTCTCTCTCTCTCTCTCTCTCTCTCTCTCTCTCTCTCTCTCTCTCTCTCTCTCTCTCTCTCTGTGTGTGTGTTTCATTTGTATCACCGTGTGTTCAGTAACTTCACAACAGTTGGTACGAATGAATAATTCCATACTTAGTATAAAAGTATGAATAATTCCATTCTTAGTATAAAAGTATAAATTGAAATAGTAAGGGGGGTGGGGGGGGGGGGGAACAATTCATTTGGGAACAAAGCAATTGGGATTACTGTTTTGTGAGAGAGAAAAAAAGGGAGAAAAGTTCAAACAAGACCTGGAAAAACATTCAAGATTAAACTAAGTGTTCAATGTTTCTTCTATGTCTATGGACATTTGTGAGGCAGCGTGGTGGAATCAGGCTCTCGTCAATTTTGGGCATATTGAGTTATTGGTATCATCTTAAAGCTTGTTCATTTGTCTTGCTTTCAATGAAAAAATTATCCATTCATCTTCAATATAGAAGTGGAAATATTTTGGATTGAAGGAGGTGGGGGTCACCTGATTTAAGAGGTAAATTAGCAAGAAAATGGCCGCCAATGCTCGGTAAATTCCAAAGCCGGAGAGTCCATGGAAACTGTAAATTTATATTTTTGTGCCTTTAATCAACGTTTTCGGTGAAATCCTCAGAGGAATGTGTTTGTAAATGGACATAAAAGGTGTTGAGTCAAAAAAACAAAAATTTGAAAAAAATTCCTATGCAGGGAGAAAACTGCTGTTTTCTTCGATTCCATTATTTTGACAAGAGCCTGATTCCACAATGCTGCCTCACATTTTTTAACCACTCCAGGGTCATAGCCCAATTAATCAGTCTTTCAGTGTCATTCTTTCAACAGTATTTCTTTACAAAGATTGTTTTGACTATGCTTTAGCACATAATTGCAGTGAAAAAAACCCAAGGTAGGCCTATTCTAAACTATACAAACTCAGGCCATGTTGTGATCCCAGAGAAGTACAAACTGTTTCTAAAAAAGCAAAAAAACCCAGCTGATCAAATAAACTTATACTTAATTATAGAAAATAAAAGACATCATCATTATCATCATCATCATCACCACCCACTTAACAATTCCCCTTTTTCTAGTTTTGTTTTTCAAGAAAACATAACAATTCGCACCATGTCAATACATTCTTACATAACCAACACCTGGATCGCTAACAACAACAACAACGTAACCAACACACAAGGGCACCAAAATCAGGACACAGGACAAAACAAACCAAAAAAAAAATATAATAAAAGAGCAAACTCCGAAGGACGTACTGTCAGTTGTTATATGAACTTGGTCTGCCATCTTCTCAAACTCAGCAAGTTCCTGTAGGAAAAAAACCCATTGATTTAATCGAAGAACAAATTAATTAATTAGTCCAGATAAAACAATTCCTTGCAATCTGAACCATCAGGAAAAAACTGTTCATAAAACACTCAACATCAAATCCAGCAGTCAGACATATACGTGAAGCAGCGTGGTGGAATCAGGCGCTCGTCAAAATAATGAAACTGAAGAAAACATCATTCCAACCCCCCCCCCCCCCCTCCCTTTGGCAATTTTTATCGAATTTTTCATTTTTGGCTGAGTACTTTTTATGTCCATTTAGAAACAATTTGCTGTGTGCCTTGTCACTTTTACTTAAAAACGTTGTGTGGTGAAATCAGGCGCTCGCCAAAATAATAAAATCGAAGAAAAAGGCTTTTATAATGTTAAAATGGGTATAATGTTAAAATGGCAGAACTTTGGTGGCCTTTTCCTCGATAATCTTACCCCTGACATAAGTATCTTGACTTCTGATCCAGATAGATGATAATTTTTTCATCAACAGCAAGACAAATGTATGAACTTTAACTTTAAGATCATACCAACAACTCCATTTCCAAAATTTAGCAGTTTTACTATTCAAGGGATAGTAGGATTCAAGGGAAAGTAGATCTAGCTTGAATAGCAACAACTCCATTTTCAAAATTTAGCAGTTGCCTTGGCTACGCCACTACAAGGTAACATACAAAAGTAGAAAACTATTCATTCACAGAGAAAAAAACTTAGGGGCCAAACAAAATTTTAACGAGAATGGACTTCACATCAAATGCAACGAAATATTAGCATTATACTAGGTACCAGACACTAAATTTTCCAAGAACCTATATGTCAAATTCATCTGTTTCATTGAAAGGCCTATGTCTCCTGAGAATTTTGGTACCATCCTTTTACCTCCTAGTCAAAACACAAAAAAAGTAAACTTAGTTTCCAAGGACTCTCAAGCTTTGGAAGTCGCCAAAATTTGGGGCCAATTTTCTTGTTAATTACACCTTTGAAACCGGGCGACTCCCACTTGGTTCAAGCATGAATATCCTGACTTCTACTCAAGATAAATTGGTAGTTTTTAAATTGAAAAGAATTTACGACCCATTGGATCAAGCTTGAATAGAAGTCGAGATATTTGCAATTAGCCTAGTTTCAGTGGTTAAATTAATGAGAAAATAGCCGCCAAAGTATGGTAGCTTGAATAGCTTTAAGAGTCCTTAAATACTGAAAACTACATATCTTTTGCTTTTAATTTAAACAAGGATTTTCAGTAAAATTCACATGGAAATGTGTTTTCATATGAGAATAAAAGTTAGGTGTTTCGCCAAAATATAAAATTTTGATAAAAATTGCAAACTGGTGGAAAAAAGCCTTTTTCTTCGATTTTATTATTTTGACGAGCGCCTGATTTCACCACACAATGCCTCACATATTTGTTCATTTACATCCAGCAATCCATTGTGTTGAATTAGTTCGGTGAAAACAGCCAATCACTTTTGCCTAGCAGCCTATACATATGTGTCCCTGCCGGTCAATATCAGTCATATATGAAGGAAAATTCAAAACTGAGTTAACACTGTTTTTAAAAACTATCACCTTTTCCCTACAATTTAAAACAAGAATGAGGTAAATATGACCATATTTGGCGAAAATACAGAACTTTTAATTGTGCGAGGTGAGGAAAAATGAAAAGGAGAAAATGGCCTCCGAAGTTGAGCAACATGCTTCCATAGCAATGGGGGTCTTAGAATTGAGATAGAGACTTTAAATTTAGCAGTTACCTTGGCTACGCCACTACAAGGTAACATACAAAAGTTCACAGAGAAAAAAACTTAAGGGCCAAACAAAATTTTAACAAGAATGGACTTCACATCAAACGCAATGAAATATTAGCATTATACTAGGTACCAGACACTAAATTTTCCAAGTACCTGTATGTCAAATTCATCTGTTTCATTGAAAGGCCTATGTCTCCTGAGAATTTTGGTACCATACTTTTACCTCCCAGTCAATGTTTAAGAGAATGGCAGCTGTTTCAATTTAACATTAACATATTAATAAAATATTGCTGAAATTGTTAACCGGCTGCAAACCCATGTTAGACAGATAGTAAAAGAGTACCAAGTGCACCAAACATCTCTACATTAAAAGAGTACAATCACTATAACATAGAAATGAAGCTTAATATTTTTTAAGACTATGGTATCATTACAAATCAGTATTTTATTGCCTCAAACACGATGATCTATCGTTAGTTCAATAAAAACACAGAGCGTTGTCTCAGCCGGCGTCGCACCAGCCTTCGTGGCGAGCGAGCTGGCTCAATACTGTAGTATACTGAGTGCTCCCGGTAATTTCGCAGAAGGATTCAAGCAAAATAATTCCAAGCCGATGAGTTTATTCTAATAGAAAAAAAACTGTTCTTTCTTTAGGTACCTTTTTTTAGCTGGCATTTTACACATTTCATGTTAAAAATGATCTTTGAAAACTTAGACCTTTTTTACAAGGTTTTCTATCTAAACGCCAAAGGCCAAAAATAATAACCACAGGAAACCACGCTCAAAGCTGTATTGTTCTTCGCCAATGAAAAGACGGTACTTAATCATCAATCTTTCTGCAAAACATTCGAAAGCATTGTAGTCAATTTTGAACCGGGGGACCTCGCATTCAGACCGCGAGGGGCTTCCCTTTCCACGGTGATTCTCCAGCTCCAAATACCCGGATATACAAACAACTTACACTATTATAACGAAAAAAATCTGAACTTTTTTTTACAGCGTTCAGCATTGTTGCACTGGGGTTGTTTGCCATTATTGTATTTAATAAAGCAAAAGTAAAAACTCCGTTTCTAGATGAAGAAGGGTAATTTAATGATGAAAATAATATGAGGTCTGCCCTCTCTGGCTTCACTGACAAGACTAAATAAATCATAATGAGCATGAGTACATGTGATTGAAACAGGAAGGAGGAGTGAGTAAAGATCACTAAGATCAGACAATCTTTGTTGTGAGGGTAGATAAATAAAAGTAGGGCCTACAATTACAGGGACATAATTCAACATGTTAATATAAGGACCAACAATCCAGGATTTATTGTTTCCCTTCTGTATATTGATAAAAGCAATCTAATAGTCTAACAAGCATGTGGCGTTTTATAACATAAGAGCAAAGAAACAGAGATCTGAATTACCCCCATTTCACCGAAACCACGCTCTTGGATGGCCGTGAGTCTGCTTTCGTGCCGTGTTTTCGCTACCTGATTATATACATACGTTTGCAATAAGAAACAGGCCGTCGTTATTCGGACTCGGGTCCGGAAAAAAGGAAGTGTCTTCGTTCTATAGATCTAACGTTCAGGGCTTCCCATTTTCCGCCATTTTTTAGTTTCCCCCACACCTTTTCTGCCGATCCGATGCCCGCCGCCTCATTGATATGCATCCCCCCCCCCCCCATGTTTTCCACTTTCTTTGTTGTAGAAAAAGGTAAAATTGAAGATTAGCAGACCACCTGGCACCTGCATATTATGAGCTGTGTAAAAAAAAAAGACCGATTCGTTCAAATACACAAGCCTGTGTCATCTCGATTGTTTACCAAGAAAAAGTTGTGTTGCTGTGTAGAGCTGAGCATACGGCAACTTTTAATTCCATAGACCAGCGCACAATTTATTGCGTAGATCTACGTCAAGACTAGCTTATTATTGTAATAATGATCAGTTGCCGGGGGAAAAAAGACTGACGCGTATGCGACGTTCAACGCCCGGACCGATAGTGCTCCATCCCCCTCCCCGACACGCACACAGCCACACGTGTGCAGGCTGCCCATCCGACCCCGACACACGCTAACGAGCCATCTCTAATTGCTTCTGATGACCTCTTGACAAATAAACATTATTAAAAGCGCTATAACTTTTCAGGCCGGCCTCAAATTCATCATAAGATAAAAACTCAGCTCCTGCTCAAAACGCCATTTTGCCCGCAGCGATCCCGGTCTCTACCCAGCCTGAGGCGAGTCACGAGTGAGGCAGGACAGGAAGCCGGAGTCACGAGTCACAGGAAGTCGGAAGTGATGTCATGCTGGACAAGAATCAGAGTCCGAATAACATTTTTTCATATTCGGACTTGAGTCCGAATAGTCACTTCGTTGCAATAATAAGCAATAGCACCATAGCCACACGAGAGCACACGCACACGCACACATATACACACACATGACATGACAAACACACCAACACACACACACAAACATGCACATAGACCGCCTCGGTAGCCTCTTGGTAAGGAATCCGAACTGAGAAATCTACAGTAAAACTACAGGAAGGTTATTTAATCTTTTAAAAGCTCTAAAACACAATAAAAACGAATTTTTAAAGTCAATCCAAGTGTAAAACTGAAAGATCAACAGACAATAGCAGCTAGCAGGGCACACGGATACAGTCTAGCACAAACAAGCTTGAAGTGAGCTAGAATTTGTACCGTTTTACCAATCAGAGTTGTTTACATTTCACCCTCAGACCATTCATGCTCGAAAAGGGGTCAAAATCTAAAAATAGTTGTGAATGAAGAACGTTGGAGCAAAGATTTTCCACTAGATCTAGTGGATATATCTAGATTCTAGCTATAGATCTAGAAATCTAGATCTAAATCTAGATCTAGATGATAGAATCCTAAGAATCATACACTTACAACAATAAGTCTCATAATTTCATCACAGTCTTCAGGTTTTGCCGGTCGTATGAGAACGTTCGACTGAGCCATATTGTAGAATAAAATGCAGGAAAAGAGTCCTAAATTCAAACAGATAAACTTGGTAAATGACTAGAACGGACAGTGGACTTTTGTTAGAGTCACAATCACTATCACCAGATCTATCACTACCCGGCACCACTCTAGCCTTGTGTGGCAGCTACTTCTTATCAAATGCCAACCGATGGCTAGAAAGTAGACCAAGCAGTCTAGAACTATATCTAATCTAAGATGACCTGGAAACTGACGATGAACTTTTTCGACTTCAACTTTCAAATAACAGCATTGTTGCATCAGTGTTTTAAGTGTATAATGTCGCCACACCTGTAAACAGGATTCCACTGTATAATAATAATAATAATAATAATTATTATTATTATTATTATTATTATTATTATTATTATTATTATTATTATTATTATTATTATTATTATTATTATTATCATTATCATTATTATTATTATTATTGATGTGGTTGTTAATTGTTGTTCTTGTTGACGATGTTGTTGTGTTTGTTTGTTATTGTTATTATTATTATTATTATTATTATTAGTAGTAGTAGTAGTAGTAGTAGTAGTAGTAGTAGTAGTAGTAGTAGTAGTAGTAGTAGTAGTATTGTTGTTGTTATTGTTATTAGTATTTCATTATTATTATTATTATTATTATTAATATCATCATCATTATTATTATTATAATATTCATTATCATTATTATTGTTCTCATTCCTAGGCCTATTATTGTTATTATTATTGTTGTTGTTATTATTATTATTATTATTATTATTATTATTATTATTATTATTATTATTATTATTATCATTATTATTATTATTATTATTATTATTATTATTATTATTATTATTATTATCATTATTATTATTATTATTATTATTATTATTATTATTATTATTATTATTATTATTATTATGCGGTGTTTCCTGTCACTCATCTGTTTAGGCTCTCCAGAGGTTGCTCTGGGTCTACTACGCCTCTTTGGTTTGCCATCAGTTTTTCCTGTGGGAGCTTATATTGTGGGCACTGCTGATTATTCATGACATAATAATACTCTGGACCCTGAAAAACCTACACCATAGTAACAGGTTCAGAGAATGAAATCTCCTTTTTTATAATTTTAGTAAAGGTTTTACGGCGCTCGCAGCTGCATAAGGTCATATATTCGACGTGGATTCAACAGAGAAGTCTATACAGGGAATCAGACTTACTCTGATTACCTCTCTAGCTTCAACAGCACAAAGTCTGCTTCGACAATCAAGGCACCCCGAATAGCAGTTCACAAGAGAATGACAAATATACGAAAGAAGTAGAGGAAACATGACGATAGTAAGGATTAGAAAAGAAAAAGCAGCAGTTCCCTGTTGCAATGCAGGCCCTGTTACGAACATGGCTTTGATGAACCTGCCCTTTTACAATTCTACGGAGCATAAGAACATGTTAATGTCCCCCCTTTGGGAATGGCCTAAAGACACTTCAGTCAGTAGCACCGCCCCGTGGTGTCATGAATTCTTCATCAAGAGCATTATCACTATAACTGCAAAGAACTAACAGCACTACAGGAGGGTCCGTTATCTGGGTCACCCGTTCATAATCCACGAAAGGTGCCTTTGTCTTATCTTTTTTTAAAATACAGGGAGGGGGGGGGGAGGGGGTGTCTAAATGTACTTTAACCCAGGGTTAAATCCATAGGTTCACCACACCACCAAACGCCATGGGCGAAGCCACGGATGTATAATGAACCGTGCTTCTGCACTATAACTTATAAGGAAGAGTGTATACTGCTAGTGAGCAGAGTACGGAGAATTAAGCAAATCCCGCGGATTGCAACATATGGTTCGGATTTGCCAATAGTGCGAACGCGCACACACGACAGGCATAGGCGATGTCATGTTTGGTTAAAAGCTCTAGCTTCCACTTGACTGTCTCCCCTCGCTTTTCGGGGCTGTTTATTTTTATTTCGTCACATTCTTAAAATTTTGAATTTGTTAAATTGTAGCGACAGCATACATAAAGGATTACACACACACACACACACACACACACACACACACACACACACACACACACATACACACACAGTCACACTCACACACACACACACACACACACACACACACACACACACACACACACACACACACACACACACACACATGTATATATATATATGTAATATAATATAATTATGCGTACACATATCTATACACACATAATGACAACGTGCGAACTGCAAGGTTGGTGTCGCCTGTACATATATTAAAATGTCATTGTGACCATAACATCGTGCTCATTTTTGTAAGTGTGTTATCTTTCTTCATTTGTGAGGCAGCGTGGTGGAATCAGGCTCTGGTCAAAATAATCAAAGTGAAGAAACCTGCATTTTTCCGCAGGTTTGTGAATTTTTATTTAATTTTTGGTTTTTGGCTCAACCCTTTCATGCCATTTAAAGAACTCATTTCTGTTTGGATTTTTCATGAAAATATTAATTAAAAGCACAAAAAATGTAAATTTTTAGTTACCACGGAATCTTAAGCTACGGAAATAACTAATCTTTGGCGGCCATTTTCTCACTAATTTTACCTCTGAAAACAGGTGACCCCCACCTCCTTCATTCACAAATATCTCGACTTTTATTCAAGATAAGTTGATTTTTTTTTCCAACCAAATAAAGACAAGTGAACAAGCTTTCAGATGATACCAATAACTCTACATGACCATAAGTTGACGAGAGCCTGATTCCACCACGCTGCCTCACATATGTATATATAATAATATAATTATACATACACATATCTATACACGCATAATGACATCGTGCGAACTGCAAGGTTGGTATCGCCGGTGAGTGAGTCCTTGCTCAATGTTGTACGTGTGTTATCTTTCTTCATTTCATTCAATCACTACAATTTTTTGTCATTTGTACGAGCTGAGGGGGGGGGGGGGGGTTGTTTCAATGTCATTTCCTTTGCACAACAAAAGCGTCTTTCACTTTCCCGCGTGACGTCACAATCTGACTCACATGACTGTGGTCCCGTGGAGAGTGTAGACCCCGGATGTGCGTACAAGGTCAAGTAAGTGTCGAATGGAGGGCTAAAGTAGCCTTTTATCCATTTTTGAACTAATATGTGTATTTGCGGACATAGGAAAAGGCCGACGTATTCCAATGTGCACAAAACTAGCCCATTGTGGGTCATTTGCTCAGAACGAAAATAAACTTTTTTTCCCCTGCAAGTGATTGAAAAATAACCCCCATCTGCAACTTACTCGTTGGGAAAATAATGCATTAAATTTTTGTTGTTGTTTGCTTGTTTGTTTGTTTTGGTTTTTTTTTTAACAATCCTCATACGCTGTGAGGTGTTTTAACTCTTTAAACCCTAAGTTTTTTTCCACCGTTTCCCGGCGTTTTTTCTACAGTGACCTGCTAAACCTGGTGAACTATGTCTCATTTCTTATAACCCCAAAGCTTGCCCCCAACGTCTATAGGCTAGCAAGACAAATGATAAGTCATTACAAAAACAAAATTTGATCGGGAATAG